CTCTGAAAACCCTCTGTGAGTTGGTTCTGACTTGACAGCAATGACTTGAGTGTGAAAAGAAGCTTAGCCATCCTTCCTAACTGACCTGATCTATGAGTAGTGAGTAATCAGTGACAAGGAACATGTGTGAACTGACCCAAAACCCTGAGCAGAAGCCCCAGTCAGACAGCCTCAGGTCCTCCCAGACTGCTCTGCAGTGGTTCCCTCACCCTCAGCACAAATCCTCAGCAGCAAATCTCCTATCTTTTCTCCAGGCTCTTGATCAGCAAACTACTTACTAACTCCAGAATCCGAGCCCCTCGTGGCCTCCTCCCTTAGAGCTTGGTGGGGAGAGAGGTGCCTCTTTCACCACTCTCAGAATGGCCTGTGGATTCAGACAGTCTCAGGTTTGAACCTCAGCGCCATCTGTCCCTGTGTGACCTGGGGTCAGGCCCTCTTTTGTGACCCTGGCTGTCTTCTATGGCTGCACAGAAGGGCTTACACAACGGCAGGCACCTGGCGTGTATAACAAGACCACACGGGGCCCAGCACGGAGGGGGCAGTGCCAGAGTTCCTTCCTCTGTTCTCCAGTGTCACGGTCCTTCATCCACCACCTCTCTCCCTGCTGACTTCAAATGAGCTCCAGCAGCTCAGAGCTGGAAAAAGCCCTGCTGCCTCTCTGGCTGCCCACTCAGCCCCCTGTGATGGGCTCTGCCCCCTCAGTCAGGGAGACTGCACTCTTCAAGGGCCCTAATGGCCTCCCCTGCCTGGTGCACCAGGACATGTCCCAGCACCCCACCTGCACAGCTCACACCCCCAGCTTTGGAACACTGTGATCCTTGTAGCCATGTACACATGTATGAGAGAGAGAGGGAGAGAGGAAGAGAGATGCATACATGAAGCCTGCCTGTTGCAGCAGTATTCCCAGGTCTTTGGTCCTGGGCCATCACAGGTTCTAATCTCTGAGCTTCAGTTCCCTGGTCTGTGGCAGCTCTCTTTTTTCTTTTTCTTATTTTTCATCTCTTATTGTTAGGTGCCATCAAGTATGACTCATAGAAACCCTCTGAACAACAGATAGGAACCCTGTCCCATCCTCAAAATCTCTGACATACATGAGCTCATTGCTGCAGTCACTGGTTAAAGTATTCTCTTTAGTGTCCCTCCACATTTCCAAACATGATGTCCCTCTCCAAGGAAGAGCCTCTCCTAGCAACATGCTCAAAGTATGTGAGATGAAGCTTTATCATTTTTGCCTCCAAGAAGCACACTGGCTGCACTTTCTTCAGGTTATATGTTTGTTCTTTTGGCAGTCCATGAGCTATTCAGTATTTTTCTCCAACACCACAGCTCAAAGGCATCAATTATTCTTCTGTCATCCTTCTTTACTGTCCAGCTCTCAGTAGCATAGCAAATGATTGAAAGGACCATGACCCAAATCAGGTGCATATTAGTCTTCAAACTAACATCATTGCTCCCCAATACTTTGGAGGAGGTCCCTGACTGCAGGCTTTCCCAGTGCAATACATCCGCTGATCTCCTGACTGCTGTTACCAAGAGTGTTGATGGTGGATCCAAGTAAGATGAAGTCGTTGACAATTTCAATCTTTTTCTGTCATGATGTTGCCTATCAATCGGAGGTAAGAATTTTTGTTTTCTTGATGTTGAGATGCAATTTATATTGAAGGCTGCAGTGTTTGATTTCTGGCATCGAACCCTCCTCACTTTCAGCAAGCAAGGTTGTGTCATTTGCATAATGAAAGTTAATGGTGAGTCTTCCTCCAATGTTGTTGTTACAGGTGGTTAAATTATTTGAATAAATGCTTTTTGTTTCACACAGTGTATGTAGTTCCCTTTCATCTAGATTAGCTCCGCTTCCCTCACCCGACTCTCTCCTTATGTGTTGGACCCAACTTTTCCATCTTAGCCACCATCCCTCTGCAGGCCATATGTGTCCCAGCTCCCTCCCTTCATCCATCTGGGCTGCTGGCCACTCCAGCTGCCATCTCTTGACCCACCACAACTCAGCCTCTTGAAAGCGCTTGTCTGCACTCACTTATTCCACATCCTCACTGCCTCCCTTGTTCCTCCCTAACCTTGGCAGCTGCCCCAGCTCTGCACTAAACTGATCTGGCAAATGTCACCTTGTTGCAAAATGCCAGGGGGCCTCCTCAGGTCTTATCTGCCTTGTTGACATTGTTGGCAGCTTCTTGAAGCACTTACCCTGCCCTAGCTTCCGGACTGGGGCCGAGGGAGCTGCACTTCTCCCCCAGCTTCTGCCAGTTTCTCCGCCTAATGTATTGGCTTCCTGATCTCCCATGCCTTTGGACTGGAACCCTGGTGGCCCCTCCCCTGCAGGGGGCCCATTTGGTTTTTTAATAAGGTTTATAAAGGATCTTAGGGAGCGCTGGTCTGCAGAGTTATGGCAATTCAAAGGCAGCATAGCTCCTTTCTGGTGGTTTGAATTCACCAACAGCTCCTCCTATGTGACTGGATGTTATTTATGTGTCATTGAGTTGGATCTGTCTCACAGCTGCCCATCCAGTAGGTTTTCAGAGGTTGTAAATCACATAGGAGGAGACTGCCCATGTTTCTTTTTTAAAAAATATTTTTTTTTAAATTTTAATGAAAAGTTGGCAGAGACTTTGCATTTCCATTCATTGTTGCACACTTTCCTCCCTGCCCATCCCTCTCCCCAGTTTGCTTTTCTCTTTGAAAAGTAAAAAAAAAATTGTTATACAATCCCCTCCATGCCCCAGTCCACTCCACTATGCAGCTTTCATTCTGGACTCTTGTCATTACAATAGTATCTAATCATATATTCCTCCCAAACAGTTCTCTCATCTGTTTTAATGCAGTATACATCTTCTATTCCCTCATAGTTTCCCCCCAATGCCTATGTCAGTCCCTCTTTACAACAGTGGCCGTATGCAGTATTTGTCCTTTTGTGACTGAGGTATTTCACTCAGCATAATGTCCTCCAGGGTCACCCATTTTATAGTTCATGAGTTCCAAGGAGGAGATTTCTCATCTTTCTGAGGAGCAGTTGGTAGATTTGAACTGCCTGCCTTTGAGTTGCTAGCACAACTTTCTACCACTAGGTCACCATAGCTCCCTTTCTGTGGTCAGTTATGAATTGGTTCCAAATTGACAGCAATGAATTGGTTTGGGTTTTTTAATTGACAATCTGAAAAAAAATTAGGTTTCACATAAAAATCAGAACCTCTGAGAGCTTTTAATAAGCAGAGGTGACCATGCTGCCGCTTCACAGCACCTGCCCCCAGGCAGCTCGGGGCTCCTGGAGCTCTTCCAATGCCCTTGTGCTTCCTCACTGGTATCCATGGAAACGGAAGATGGCCTGAGAGGGCATCATGGTTCAAGAGAAGAGGGAGAGAGTACATTTCTCTGTGGAAGTAAAAAATGCTGTATGTTTAGCATATAAAGAATGTCAAAATTGAAAGGAAACCAAGTTTGACCTTGTGGAGTGACTGATATTCTTACAATGTTACTCCTGATGGTGCCTGCCAGAACCTTGCTTCCCAGGTCACCTGGGGCTCAATTAGAAAGGGGTATGTAGATTGCCTCAGACTTATACCAGATCCATTCACAACTTCTACTTTGAGCTGCTCTATTAATTTCTCTCCTAAGTGTGCCCTAAGCTCTTTAGTCAGTGAGTCAACACTTACTGGGCCCCCAACATGTGACAGGCTCAGGTCTAGTCTGTCAAAAAAGAATGAAAGCTGCAGCCACAAAGCCCATCAATTTCAAGTGTCGCAGGGACAACATAGCCCCTTCCTTCTCCATCCTTGGCACCATTTCTCAGGATGCCACGGGAGATATCGTCTCTTCTCTAAAAAGCAAATGACCCAAGGACCTGTGGGCTTGGGCATATATCATCCTGTTCTGTGGCTCCTCTTCAGATCATGCTTGAATAAGAGTGCTGACAGTCCTTCTGGGAGTGCAGGGCACCAATGGAAGGTGAAAGACCTGAGGATGGCAGGGTGATCACTGACACCTCTCAAGGCACCAGGCAAGAGCAAGCCTCCCAGGGGCACTAGCGGAGGTTGGTGCTGGGGTGCCAGCTTGTTCTGCGTCAATATGTAACAGTGGCTTTGTCAGGCCTCCAAACTTTCCCAAATCTCATTTATAAAGTAAGAGTGACACAGTTACTGGTAGGCAGGCTTACATGTAAGCAATGTACTAAACAAGCAGCAAAAGTGCCTTCCTTTTCTGGACACCCTGAGATCCTTCATTGTGTCCTCCCACTTGGTCCCAGTTGGCCCACTGCTTTCTGCTCCTCCTTTCTCTAGTTCCACCCCCCCACCCCCTCCTCCCACCTGTTCTGCTTAGTGCCCTAGAATGTTCTTTCTACAACACAAATTTGAGCTGGTCACTTTCTGATTTCAAGCTCTTCCCTTGCAGACAGCCCTGGTTTGTAGAACTGCAGGCTGCCCTGTCACCTCTGGGCCCTCACTCAATGCTCCCATTTCTCGATGTTCCATCCCTGAAGACCCACCCCCAACTTCTCCTCCAGTACTTCTCTTGGTACCTAAGCCCTGTACAGGGGATCCCCCTGATTCACAGTGACCCATCAGGGCCAGACTTGACCCCACACTGTTTCTGAGGCTGTAATCTTTCCAGAAGTGGTCTGATACTTCTTTCTCCCATCAAATGTTGGGTGGGTTCAAACTTCTGACTTTTCAGTTGGCAGTATAACCTGTGCTTGCCTCCAATTTCCCCATGACTGGTGCTTGGGAGTACTGCACACGGGACACAGCTGGTTACAAGTTTATTGTGGCACTGGAAGTGTATGGGGGCCGGTGTGGCCAGCACCGGTGTGCAATGCTGATGTAGGGAGTGGGGGTGTGGGGAAGTAAGGCAGGGCATGGGAGACCCCAGGCTTGGGCCAGGAGCCGGGGTTGAGGCCATCTTTGCCAGCCCTACCCAGAAGTCTTGGAGTGACGGTTCTAGGACCATGACTCCTGAAACTGGAGCAAGGCCAGGCTGCAGTGGGCAGGAGGGGCTCACACATGAGAAAAGGCGTGGCTCTTGCAAAGGGGCTTGTCCTTCTTGGAGTAAAAGGTCTTTCCTTCCAAGTTGATCTGACATATCTAAGGGCAGAGAAGACAGTCACATGTGGTAGTGGGGTGCAGGAGAGGCTCCTCCTACCTGAGGACTGTTAATGAGACCAGCGGTTTGGGGGTGGAGGCGAGGTTGAGTCCAAGGGGCAGCCAGTGAGAGGTACTCACCGCACAAACAAAGCATGTGTCATGCCAGCTGAAGCCCAGGGCCTCCAGGAAGCGGTCTCCAGCATCTATCTTGAAATCACAGCCTCGACATTTCGTGCCAAACATCTTCTCGTAATCTGGAAATGAGGGTAAAGAGGAAAGGGACATTAGATTCCAGAGGAAGCCTCAGTCCTGCCCTTCCCCACCCCCAGCCCCTCCTCCAACCTCGCTCGCAGTAGGGTGCCCCCTCCTCCATGTAGAAGGCCCTGTTCCTGATGGGCGTCTTGCAAGCAGCGCAGGTGAAGCAGTGTACGTGCCAGGTCATCTTCAAGGCATGCATGATCTCCTGTGGGGGAGTCAAGCAGGGGAGCCCAGTCTCCTCCTGGTCTCCAAAGCAACATCTCTATCGTCCTGTGATCACACTTCAACACCCACACGTCTTTCTCCAAGCAATTCCATCCCATGGCTATCCAAAGCCACCCTGCTCTTTCCTTTATTCTTTAATATTTATTACCCTTAACAACATACTACCAGGGAGCTCTGATGGTAAGAAGTTGCACTGCAATCCTAAAAGCTTGTGCTTCGAATCCACCAGGTGTTGTGAGAAAAAGATGAACAATTTCCTCCCCAGAAACTTACTGCCTCTGAAAATCCACTGGAGGGTCAGCTATGAGCTGGTTCTGACTCGAGAGCACACAACATATTACCAGAGTTTACTTATGTCGGCATCTATATTAGGAGCCAGGGCTGCACTGGAGGTTAAGCACTGGGCTGCTAACATAAAGGTCAGTGGTTTGAGCCCATCAGCTACTGAGGGAGAAAGCTGAGACGTCTGCAGGCCCTGGGAGTCAGAACTGACTTGACACGGTGTGCTGGGTTGGGTTTACTGTGTATTCTGTCCCCCACTTCTCATACTCAAAACTTTTCAATGGCTGTGACCTTTCAGAAGCAGATGGCCAAGGCTGCCTTCTGAGGTTCTTTCTGTTATATGCTATTGAGTCAGAACTGACTCATAGCTGACACTCTAGCGGGTTTTCAGAGGCTGCAAACTGCATGGGAGACTGCCCTTCTTTTCCTGCAGAGTTGCTGGTGGATTTGAACTGGGTCATGGGTTGGCAGTACAGCTCCTTGTCCACTAGTCCTCCAGAACTCCCTGAGGTACCTCTAGAGAAACTCAAATCAGCAGCCTTCTGCTTGCTTAACTATGTGTAATACCCAGGGACTCCTACTTGGTCTTAGTGCTCAGTGTCTGAACCGAATTCATCCGTCTCCCTCAGGCCCAGCTCTCATCCCCAGGACCCTTGGACCAGCAAGGGCACATGGTGCTCAGATCTGGAGCAGGTAGAGGGCAGTGTGGGGTCTTAGGGAGGGGCAGAGGTTTATAGTTTCACACAGAACTTGCTTTTTAATTGAGACTCGGCCAAAAGCTTTATCTTCTTGAGACCCAGCTCATTCCTTTGTGAACTAGGAAACCTAATCCTTGCAGAGTGATGGTTTCTTATGGCCATACATCAGAAGCCTGGGCCCCAGACCCAAATGCCTGAAGGGGCCAGGTGGGAGCTGAAGAGTGAAACTAGCAGAGGTGAACAACAGGGCAAGGGGGGACTGTATCCTGGGAACACCTGTCTGCCCAAGGGGGACTCGCTGACTGGTTTGGTCAGGAATGCTATGAAAGTTCAGGCTAAAGTGTCATCTTCTGGGTCTTGACCCAGAAGATGGTTTAAAAGTTATTACTTGAAAATGAAACAGTACAGCTCAATCAAGACTTACATATGGCCAGCACCTGGTCCTCTGATGGCTTATTTGTAACCTCCACTGTGGCTGCCAAGTCAACTCTGATTCATGCCAAGCCCTGTGTCAGTAGAACTGTGTTCCATCATTTTCAGTGGCTTTAATCGTGACGACGTAAATCACCAGGCCTTTGTTCCACAATACTACATGGTGGATGATAACTACCAACCTGTAGCTAGCTGCTGCTGGTAGTGCGGAGTCCATTATGACCCACAGTGTAAACCCCTTGTGCCACCCCGGGGCCTTTAATGACCTCTACAATCTCTACATCATACTCCATGTCACCTCACAACCACCCTGGCCAGGAGTCACTGACATTCCCTTTATGGTCAGGCTCAGAGAACATGATTGGTCCAGGTCATACAATGATGGCAGCAATAGGATGATTTTATATTCCCTTCTGCCTAGCTTCAAAGCTCGTTCTTTCTGCAAATTTGTGTTGCTTTTCTTTTAAGAAAAAGAGTAAAGACATTGGTGAGAAAGGATACCCAATAGAGGGAGCACCTGGCCAGGCCCACTGACTCTGGGCTGGGAGGCAGGTTTCAGAAGAGTCTGTGGCCCAGTTATCAGTTTCCAATTTATTCCCTAAATTTGTCTGTTTCTCCATCCTCACTGCCTGGACCCAGCTCCCAGCAGCCTCCAGCCCCCTGCGGTCTATCTACCAGACTCTGTCAGGCCTCGTGCTCCAACTTTCTAACAGCTCTGCCCACCTCTGCCTCAACCTCTTTCTTCCTGACTTTTCTTTTTGACGGAGTTGACCTGTCTGCCTGGAACAATGTCTTCTGAGTCTTCTACAAGCTAATTCCTACTCAGACTTTAAGTTCAGCTTCAATGCCACTTCCACCCACCCATTCATTAAATATCTTCTGAGCACCCGCTATCTATGGGGCACTGCATCTGGCTCTGGAAACAGCAGTGAACAATACACATCTCATCCTCAACCCATGATGCTCTGACCTGGGGAAGAGATGGGGGCAAAAGGAAATGACTGGGTATAATGGCACACCGAAGAGGGCCTGACCCAGTGAGGAAGATGGGCAGCAGCAACTATGAAGGTTTTCCTGAGGAAGCGACCTTTGTGTCCCTGAGCAGGAAGGCAGACAAACAGGGTGTTCAGGAGGGTTCCTGGTGGAGACGATAGCTTGGACAAAGGCCTCAAAGCGGGAGGGAGGCAGCCTAAAATGGTGACCCCAAAATGGAGAGGCCCAAGGCGCTGAAGTACTGAGAGTGGATGGGATCAATAATGAGACTTCAGGGAGCAAATGGTCCCCACATGGTCCCTAGACGGGACCAGTAGCTCCCAGCCCCTGAATGTTCCTCCAACTCCATGAAATAGACTGAATCCTCCTGATCCACATTGGATGCCCTGAGGGCAGTGTGCAGACCTGAAGGCTGGTAGCAAAGGACAGTCCTGAGAGAACACTGGGCAGGAAGAGTCCCTTTCAGAGCACCTCTCAGGTTGATAAAGTCAGACTCCTGTCCTTTGAGCATAGGGGACAGTAGGCCCTGAAGCCCCTGCAGAAGGGGAAGGGGAAACCTATGGGCCATTCTGTAGCAGTGGTGGCCTTGGCCAGGGACTCAGGACCTACTGAGGCTCAGCTCCTCCTCAGTGGGAGGTAACCCTGGCGCCTGGCATTACAGGTGGGCAAGCTGAGGTGCCTGTGGAAGGCAAGCAGAGCACGCCTGTGAAGAGCAGGGGCAAACCTGATGCCTTACTCAAGGAACATCCAGGCACACGCCTGTTCCTCTTGAAGACTCCATCGGGGTGTGACCCAGGCTGGCAGGTGAATGACTGTGAACTCGGGCAAATTTCCTCATCTCCAAGATGGGCATGATAACCAAGCCGACGCAGTGTAAGACTATGAAGCTGAATGCCCACATGCATTAAATGCCCATGAACATTAGCGGTCATTACACGACAAAACTGTGATAACGGATGTTAGATTTGGCCTTTCTTGTCTATTCACCAAACTTCCACTTTCCATTGGGCACACAACCTCCCCAAAATAAAGACTGTATTTCCTAGTGTCCCCTGAAACTCAGTGTGATCGTGTAACTGTGATCAAGTTCTGGCCAACGAGACGGTTGTGTGCTAGCATCCTCAAAAGCCAGCTGTCATGGCCTTCTGTCTCCTCCTCTTCCTCCCCTCTCCACTTCCTGCTGGCTAGAATGTGGAAATGCTGGCTGAGGCTGGAAAGCCTTCCTGGACTCCGAGGGCTGAGTAGGCACCTGCGGAGGATGGCTGAGCAACGAGAAGCAGGGTCTGCAGTGAGCCAGGTATGCCCACTGCCTGCTTTCTCACTCTTTCCAGGTGAGTAGTTAGATGTGGTGAAGGCTGCTCTGATTCCTGCAACCCCACTGTGTCAAAGCAAAACTGTGCTCCAGGGGATTTTCAGTGACTGTGACCTTTTACAAGTCGACTGCCAGATCTTTCTACTGAGCACTTTTGGGTGGACTCAACCCTCTAAGCATCTGATTAGCAAGCAGCCAACCACATGGACTATACCATGCTGAGTGTTCTCTTATCTGTCGTCAAGGTAAATCTAACTGACAGGAACGTCACCAGCACAGAACTGTCTGGGTCTATCTGACTGCTCTGCCCTGGCATTCATAGGAGGAGGAAGTGTGATGGCAGGGAGGGTCGCGGCTGGGGCCATTCAATCTGTGCAGCCTCCAGCTCCTCTCTGGGTCTCAGTTTCCACATTTTTATAACTCACGCAGCTTTTCAATCCTGCCTGATCTGTCTTTCCCCTGAGAGTAAAGAATATCAGCTCAGCCCCTGACTCCCTCCTGGTGTGAGGTCCTGGGGTAAAGCCCACGTATGTCACGTTCCCAGTCTCTGCACCCCACATAGGACATACCGCCTGGCAGGGTTCACCTTTAATAAGAGAATGAATGAGTGAAGGTTGATGGCCCATTACTTGAAACTCCTGACAGACATTAACTGAAGTCCCAAGCCTGGCTTTGTGCAGCAGGCAGATTTCCCTACAGGAAATCTGACTAGGCTATGCTTTGTGTTTATCGTCAGTGGGACGAACATGATACTATTTCTGGCTCTGCCACTCAGTGGCCTATGCCCTTAGAGCATATCAAGTCATCTTTCAGAGTCTCAGCTTCCTTAGGCATTAGATGCAGCAATATGTTGTTCCTCATGCATAGCTACCATCCATCTGTCACTGGGGCCACCTTGCTGATGCTACACATGTTTTAGTGGCGTTTCCAGGCCAAGACAGACTAGGAAGAAAGGCCCTGTGATCTGCTTCTGAAAATCAGCCAACGAAAGCCCTGTGGAGCACAGTGAAACAATCTATAACCAAGCACGGCAATGCTGCGAGACCAGGAGGCATCTGCTTCCTCCATTGCAGCCACCAGGATGAAGGGCAGCTCACACAGATCAAGCCAACACTGGATCTGCCTCTCACAACACTTTCTCATATTTCCTGGTTTTATGACTGACACTACTTGTTATTGCTGTGTACTGTCAAGTTTGAACCAACTTATATCTGACCCTCCAGTGGATTTGCAGAGGCAATGAGCACAGAAGGAGGCTATTCCTCTTTTTCCTGTGGTGCAGCTGGTGGATTTGAACTACGTGCCTTTGGGATTGCAGCACAGTTTCTTATAACTAGGCCACCAGAGTTCCCTTATGACTGGCACTTAAAGGGCTAAACTCCTGGGTTTCCCAGACTCCCTTGCAGCTAAGGTAAATATGATGCAATTCTAAGACAACAGGATGAAGATGGAAGGTTTTGGCTTTTCTTCTGGAGTAGAAAGGTACCATCCTGCTAAAAGCAGGTCATTTGCTCCTTCCCTTTACTTCTTCCTTGGGCAAGGACATAAGGCCTGGGAAGTAAGCAGCCACCTGGCAACTCTAACATGACAAACTTGAGGACACAGGTCTCCATGCTAAGGATTCTGGAGCAAAAACAATGGGAAATCTTTGGTCTCTGAAGACATCCCTCAGCTGCGGTTCCAATCTTCAAATTCTTAAGACTAAAAAAAATAAATTCTCCTGTTTAAAATCTCTGTAGTAGGGAGTTCTGGTTTTGCAGCTGACCACATTGCCAAGACAAAGCAGCCACCTCTTATTTTAGCTTAGCCTTCCCGCTGTAGGATAATGTCACTTTGGTTTTATTTTAGGGAACCACTCATGCCTCAAGGGAGCTCTGGTGGCCTAGTGTTAAGGAGCTGTGCTGCTAACACAAAGGCAGGTGGTTCAAATCTACCAACTGCTCCACGAGAGAAAGACAGGCAATCTACCCCCATGCAATTTGCCACCTCTGAAAACCCACTGGAGGGTCAGCTACGAGTTGGTTCTGACTTGGTGGTATACGACACCACCACCACCACCACATGCCTTACCCTAAGCCTGTGGCTCCGGTAGGGCTGCCCCCATCCCTGCAGTGGGTATAACTCGGGCCTGTCTGGCCAATTAAGAGTCAAGGAGCTTGGTTCAGAGATGGGCACATGACCCGATCCAAGCCAGTGAGCATCAGCACTGAGACTTCTCCTGCATCAGTTGGCACAGAAGTGCTCACTTTCACTGTGTTGTGTGAAACTGGAGCAGTATTACTTTAGTGTGTGGTGTCCCCTTTGTGGCCCTTTAGGGAGGCAGCATGCTGGGGCATGAGACCAACACAGGTGAAAACAGAGGCACATACGGGAAAAGGTCTTGATAACCTTAGTACCTGGATTCTGTTGTTCTTTTGCCACTCAGTAGATTCCAACTCGTGGCAGGCCCATGTGTTACAGGGCAGACACAACCTACAGGGTTTTCTTGGCTGTAATCTAAATGACTACTCTGCATGTTTCTTCTTGGTGCTGCTCGGCAGGGTTGAACTGATAATCTTCAGGTTTGCAGTCAAGTGCAAACTGTTTGCACCACCTAGATTTTGCTGGGCCTGAAGTTAGTGCCTCATGGGTTTGCCATTATCTGAGCCAATAAATAGGCTTTGGCCATTTGTTAAGAGGATCCTGGCTTATATATCTCATCTGTAGTGAGGCTAATGCAGCAGCCCCTATATTAGGCTGTTAAGCTCCAAAGGGATTATGCAGGGAGAGTCCGAGGCCCTGGAGTTGTTCCAGACTGCTCAACGCTGACCCTCAGAACCCAACTTCCCAGTTCCCGCCAGCCCCACTCACGCCTGTAATCTTCTTCTTGCACTTGGCACAGCTGGGTGCATAACGCACATCGTAGCAGGGGGGGCAGAAGATAGCCCCCTTCTCCTCGAAGAAGCCACCCTCTTCTAGCACCTTCCCACACTGGTTGCACACAAACTCCTCAGGATGGTACGCATGGCCCAGTGCCACCAGGTAACGGCCCCTGAGAGGACAGAAGGGCCAGTGAGAGGGCATATCTGCCAATTAGCTGGGGTTCTTAGCTAGACTCCAAATGAGTTTATTACGGCACTTACTAGAAAACCTTGGGAGGGAAAGTGCATTCTCTCACTGTCCAAATATAAAGGAGTCAGGCAACTGCCCGGTTAGTAATTGAGTGCAAACCACTCGTGCCACCAGGAGCCTTTAGTGACTTCCCCATGATCACAACAGGGCAACAGGGCAGAAAGGGACCCCACTCTGTCAGGCGACACTGCTTTGATGACAGATTATAAGAGTAGTTGGGGGGGGGGTTTGTGCGGGGAGAAGGGTGCAACAATGAATGAACGGAATTCCAAAATCTCTGTAGATGTTCATTGAAATGAAAAATAAACAAACTAAATTAAAAAAAAAAAAAGAGTAGTTGAAGAATAAGGAGAACAGGGGCCGAGAACTTGAGTCTCCCAAGATCGGTCTGCAGAAGTGGCAAAAAGACAGCCCTTGGGGGGCTGGAGGTCCAAGTACCCAGAATCTCTCAAAGATCAGTCGGCCCCTGACCTAGCCCATCCTGCTGGTCGGCTCCACCTGGCATAAGCTGAACCTACAGTCTCTGTAGGGGAGAGGTTTATAGGTTCTAGATAAATGGAAGGAGGGGGTGCTTTGCAGAGAGGACAGGAATCAAGAGAAGAACAAGGCCACGTCTGAGAACTAGGAAGGTTCTAGAACCTCATGCCCTGACTGGGGGTGGGGGTGGTGTTATGTGCCCCTGCTGAATCTTTTAAGGGGTCTCAAGCTTGTCTGCTCTGAGAGTGGAGGTGCAGCAAAGAGAGGTGGAGGGAGAGAAACAGAGGGGCTAGGAAGGGCCTGGCCCTTCTGTGTCCAGAGCTACAGCTCTGACCTCTTGTTGACACCTTCCTTCACCAGAACACACTGATGAAGTTGGTGTGGGGGGATTATGAGTCCTGAGGTTCCGAGCAAGGTCCTCATCTCCAATCTGATTGGAAACGGAACACTTCTCTTCTAGCAGTGACAACTGAGGCAAAATGGGAAAGTAGGTAAGGTTGGGCTAAGACAGGAAGGGCCAAGGTAGGGAAGGGACAGGCCACCTACCGGATGACTTTGTGGCACTGGTGGCACACAGGAGTCTTGCCATTGCTGCCACTGCTGCCTCCCATGCCCCCTCCAGCGGCTGCCTGCACGATGGAGGTGCGGTTCTGCAGGGGCGTGGGCGTGGCCGGCTGGCTGTGCCGGGTCAGCACAGTGCTGGTTTTGTCCGGGGCATAGCGTTCAGCAAATGCAGAGTCCACGGCCCAGGGTGGGCGGCTGGTGGGGCTGGGACTGGTAGGGCCTGCCAGGGCCAAGGAGAGTAAGTCCAGGGGGTACCCAGGGAATCCAAAGGGCAGGGGCAACTTAGAGGAGCCTGCCACCCCCATGTTCCCTGGGGGGCCTAGCCACCCTCACCCAGGCCAAGTCCACTCCCTCTCACCAGGTGACCAGGGCTCCTGGGTTGTAGATGAGGCTGGGGCTGGGGCTTCTGTCCTGGGTACCTGGCTGCAAGACCTGCTGTTCAAAGCCCTGCAGGGCTGAGGTTCCTGGTATGCTCCACACCCCCACCCCCACCTTGGTCCTGGTGGCTCCAGGAGACACTGGAGTGAGTGAGAACTGCTGGGCTGGGTTCTAGGTCCCACAGAGGGAGTGAAATAGAAGAGAAGCCTCTTCAACCCAGTGCCAACTGGCTGGTCTTTGTGCAGAGCTGGGGGGGCAGGTCTTGGGAATCCCTCATACCAGCGCTCCAAGTCTATTAGCAAGGTAGACCCTCTTGGTTGGGTACCCCTTTCCATAAAGACCCAGAATGGCAAGGCCCACAATGAATCTGAAACATCAAACACCTCCAGAATTCAAATGTACACAAGACTCATAATAAAGAGAGAAGACAGAGGCAGAGAAAGCAGGCCGAGAATGTTTATTTCCATGCCCAAGCTGGCGTGGACCTGGCAGACAGCAGCACCACAGGGCAGAGAGGGTCAGCAGTGTCAGGTGAAGCCAGGCCAGTGCCAAGCGGGGCTGCCAGGGTCAAGCCTGTGGAGGCTCACCCCAGGGGCAGAAAAGGGGTAGGTGAGGTAGGCAAAAGCTGGAGGCACCTATAGGGGTGCCTTGGGCAAGAAGAACAGAAACAGAGAGGCAGAGAGGGCAGCAGGCCGGCGAGAGGGCCGGGCTACGACTGCACGTTGAGCACGTGGGCAGAGCGCTGGTGGTGCCAGTCCCGGAGGCGGGTGTAGCGTGGGCTCTGCAGCTCCAGGACATACTTTTCCCTGGGGGGCAGAGAGAGAAGGAGGAGCAAGTAGAAGGAAGGAGAGATGGAAGGGAGGGAGGAAGGAAAAAAGATGGAGAGCTCTGGCTGGAGTGCCAGGAGCAGACCTAGGAGCGGGAGAGGCAGGAGGTAGGAGAGAGGGGCTAGTGTCCATCTCATTACCTGGATTTCTTTAGGTGTTCCTCATCCGGGTCTTGCACTGAGAGGGGAGAGGCAGGCATTGACCAAGGTGAAACAGAGGGTCATCCCAGACAAAGGGTCCACAGGGCTTCAGAGTCAGAAGGAAAGTCTACCATGTCCAGGACCAGCACTTACTGAACTCGGTGCCCGTGAGGTGGGCAAGAATGCGGAAGGAACGGGACTGGCCTGTCCCGGGTCGAGGCCGCCAGTCCTCCGTGTTCTCCATCAATCGTTGTTTGCTGGCATTAGGGACCAGTGGTCGTACTGGCAATCTGCAGGAAGGACGTGGCTGAGAAGGCATGCTGGGGGTGCATGTGGGGGCAGCCCCTCCCGGGATCTGGTCCATGTGGGCAATGGTGACTGGGAAAGTGAGAAAGGGAAAGGCCAAGGTCTCTGCTGGTGAGTGGTTGGGTGGGGGAGTGAGAGGTCAGGGAGGCATCCAGGAAAGGGAGGGGCCACCGCCCAGAGTGCCAAAGGAAGGAAGACAAAGACAGGTAGAGGGGGCTCACTGACTTGTCAGGGGTCTGCACCTGTGAAGAAACAGACAGATGGACAGATAAAGGGACAGAAAAAGGGAGAAGACAGAAAGGGAAGAATCTGAGTACCCAGGGGTAAGGCCACAGGGAACATCTGGGGCTCAGTCAGCCAATAAATACCACACCCCAACCCTAGGCTGGCGGTGGGGACGCAGCCACATTCCATTCAGAGCCCCTCTGGAACCCCTAATAGAGCCCTCTGCTTGCAGCCCCTGCCCTGGCCGCCAGAGGTCGCTGCCGCACGGTCTCGGCAGGGCTGGGGCGCAGCACAGGCGGAGCAGCGGCTGGCAGCGGGGGACAGAGGAGGAGGTGGGTGTGGGCGGACGTACCCGTTCTGCTGCGGGGCGCTGTCAGCAGTAGGGGAGGCCCCAAAGGGCCGGGCCGTCTTGTTGAGGGAGGCGCTGGGTGCAAAGGTGTACCGCGGGGGGTCCGCGGTTGGGGCCGGGGCCTGAGCAGAGACAGAGCCAGGCAGGGCGGGCAGGGAGCCGGGTTTGGGGCCGGAAGTGGAGTACCCCGCCCCACACTCCAGCCCCGCCCACACACATCTGGCCAGAGGCTGCAGGGGAAGGGGTGACTCGGGTTTCAAGGAGGGGGCCCATCTGGAGCTATGATCTCAGTCCACGCAGGCTCGAGGGCAGACAATGTGCAGGCGCAGAGCAAAGGCCAGCATGACGGAGGAGGGCTGGCAGACGGGCACAGACAGACAGACAGACATGCGTGGTGCCTGGACCGTGCGGCAGCCTCCGGCTCAACTGGAGTTCCCCCAAGCTATCTCTGCTCCGGCCTCCAATTCCTGTCCAGGAACTCAGGCTACACTGAGGGTAGGTCAGCCCGGGGTGTTCTGCCCCGCCCCACCTCCTCCTATGTCCCCAGCCTGGCACTTACCTTCTGTTGTTTGCTCTGAGCTGGCTGGGCCCTGGAAGTAAAGGGCAAGAGGTGAGGGTAGGCCATGGAGGGTACCCCTACCCACCCAGGTAGCCAGCATTCTCACACCTGCTGAGACCCAAGCTGAGGCGCTCCCCGCAGGTTCGGATCTTGTTCTGGGCTTCGATGTGCGTGAGGGCCCCAGCATTCTCGCCATCAATGCTCAGCACCCAGTCGCCTACAGCGACACCAGCTTGTGCTGCTTTGCCGCCAGGCGTAAGCTGTGGAGTGGCAGAGAGCATGGAGGCTACTGATTCTGAGGCTGACAGTGCCAACCTGCTCTTTTCCTAACTGCCCCACTTCCACTTTCAGAGCCCAAACACACTTTGGGGCAAATGCTATTCAATAAGTGAGTGGTACTGCTTATCTGAGCTTCACATTACCCCAATCACCCTGCTTATTTATGTATTCATGTATTTTTCCCCCTTTACCTCGAAGCCTCTCCTTGCAAAAGTCCAATAGTTATGACATCAACGAACAATTGCTCTCAATATAAAAGCTTTAGCCTTTTTAAAGTCGTAACAGGTCCACTACCACCCCTGGCCTCTTGGACTTCTGCCTAGTCTGTTCCATCTACTAGACATGCCCTTCCTTCCCCTGGCTTTCACACATGCCACATTTCTGATACCTCTAGGTAGTCTGACCTCTGACACTCCCAGGGACCAACTCCAGAGACTTGTCCCCCATCTGTCTTCAAACCTTTAGCAAATGCCTCAGAGAGCCAGGGCTAGGCCATGTCATCTCCAGGTTACCCGTGTGCAGAGCCTGAATGGGGCTTCACAGGCTATAAATGGCTTTCATTTGCAAGATTACAAATACCCTATCACACCACCTTCCACCAATGATGCATTATATCTTTCAGGCTGAGAATCTCCACTTCCTGGGGCAAATGAGGGGAAAGAGGATCCAGGACTTGGCCATGATGGCAGGTAGAGCAATTAGGAGAAGCTGTCAGACTCCAGTACCTTTCCTGTTCCTAGTCTAGCCAGCAATTTAGGCAGGGTGACTTAGTCATTCATGGACTGGAACTCAGGGTGGCCTCAGCCACCTGGCAGGGGCCTGGTCCTGAGTAGTTTTCACAGGAAGTGCTTGCAGGCAGATTTACACATCATAGTGCTTAGTGGAGTGTTAAGGATTGAATTGTGTCTCCCTAAAACATGTGCTGTAAATCCCATCCTTATGCCTGTAGTTACAATATCACTTGGAGATGCGTTTTTGTTGTTACTGAGACAGGATTAGGGTAGGGTGTGTTTTGAGCCAATCTCTTCAAAGACATAAAAGTAACAGATTAAGCAAGTAGAGAAGATGGGGCAAAGCTGATGCCAGTCACATGGAGATCACCACAAAACAGGCTGAGGAGATAAAGACCTTCCTCCAGAGCTGACAAAGACAGAAAGACTTCCCCTAGAGCCAGCACCTCAGACTGACTTCTAACATTTTAAAACATGTTTGTTAAGTAAATTTCTGCTTATTAAAGTCAGTCACTGTGGTTGTCTTATTATTGTTAGGTGCTATGACTCATAGTGCTCCTATGAACAGATTTGAACCTTGCCCTATCCTGTGCCATCTTCACATCTCTGATATGCTCGAGCTCATTGTTACATTCTGCCAGTATCAATGACGAGGCGGGAGGGGACAGGTTGCTTGCGAGCCCCGGAGATTCATCAGGTCGTCCAGTGCAGACTGATCCCAGGCTGAGAGGAAAGGGCAGAGGCATGGTATGCAGACACTGCCAGCACTGGGGCCAGGAGGCTGGAATGCTGGCTGCTTCTAGTCCGTGTCTGGGAGGTTAGTATACAACTGTATTCCCTTCTTCTCCTCTAAATAATGGTAATCACTGCAGCGGACATTTAGTGAGCACTTACTAGTTCCCAGGCCACATATGCACACTAAGTCCTCAAATAACTATAGACTAGAGTCTAAAATTATACCCACTTTATACATGGGAAACCAAACAGAGAGGGCAAGCAGCTGATTTCAGCTAATAGAGCCAGTAAAGGCAGGGCTAGGATTTTTCTGATTCCAAGGCTCCTTCATACTGAGTCACCTCTGCTGAGTGTTGGGACCCTACTCAGGGTCAGGTAAGCTCCCCTGAAAAGATCTCCTAACTACTTGGTTGGGTTTGGGGCCTGGATTCCCTATCTCACCTTTGTTGTTGCTGTTTTTATGTGCCATCAAGTCAGAACCAACTCCTAGCTGACCTGCCAGCAGATTTTCAGAGGCAACAAATCACAAAGGAGTCGAATGTTTACCTTTTTCCCACAGGGTATTCAGTGGACCTGAACTTTGGGTCTTTGGGTTGGCAGCGTAGTTCCTTACCATGAGGCCACCTACCTCACCTTTAGCTCAGTCTCATACCCCTTATCATGGGCAAGGGGAAGTAACGCCTTCAAGGGGAAGTGACTTACTAAAGTCACAGTGAGTCAGGAGAAGGGAAACCTGGCTGGGCCACTCCCTACTGACACCCAGTGACTACTGGGAGGTGTGTTCTGAGCCAGAAATGGGGGTCCTGGGAGAAGCAGGAACAGCTGGAGGGAGGTGAGGTGGAAACTATTTCCTTTCCCAGGGTGAGGGAGTGAGGAGAACAGGAAGGACAAGAGGGCAGGGCAGTCAGTGGTCAAAGAGATAGAGAATTGAGGGGAGAGCTGGGGGTTGGCTGGAGAGATATGCAGAGTAGCTCTGGTTAGGGGTAGGGTGAAGCTCCAGAGCCCAAGGGGGAAAAGTCAAGAGGCTGGACACTTCCCAGGGTGGGGGTGAGTCAGCTTGAGGGCTCCACTGAGGAGCCCAACCCCCCAATCCCAGACGTTACCTCATCTCTTAGGCCTGGGCCCACAGCCAGCTCCAGCCCCTCCCTCGTCTCTCCATTCTGGGGTCAGAGAAGAGAGAGGGGGCTGGCCTAGCTCAGAAAAGACCACTCCTTCTGCCTAGGCCCAAGACCAATTGAAGGTCTGTGGCTGCTGACAAGGTAGTCCAGGCTAAGAGTGCCCACAACAGGCCATATCTGGAAGTCCACCCTCACTGGATGAGGAAACTGAGGCTCTGAGACCTGTCAAGGCCTAGGGTTCTCCGGCCATTACTTTTCCAGGGATGGGAAATGTGGGCTAAGTTTTCTGAATGGGTAACACCTGAGGACTATGTAGAAGTGTGTGGTCGGGAGGGAAAGGGCGATGTTGCCCTTGCTTCCAGGGCAGGTGTCAAGGGAACCCCATAGATGGGTCCCCAGAGGCACAATGATTGCTACTGCCTGCCTTGGCTACAAAGCCTCCACAGACAGACTTCGCCTTGAGGCCCCTCTCAGACTGGGCAGTGCCTGGGCAACCTTCTGGCCTCCTCCATGATGTGCTTGCCCTGGGCTTCCTGCCAAGAGCTGCCTGCCCACTGGCACTTGGGTGGGCCTCTGTGGCCTGGCGGATATGGGGGCAGGAAGTGCCCCACCAGCCCCCAGAGCCTAGTCACCAGTACCAGTGCTGGCCTCTCCTACTCCAGGAAGGCAGTTTGCTCTCTGTTCCACAACTGACTCCCACAGCTGGAATAGGGGCCTAGTGACCAGTAGGGACTTGCCTTGGGCCACCTCTCAGTCATGGAGAGATGGGCCCCATAGATGGAGTTCAGGGGTCCTAGCCTAGGCCAGACTTTTGGGCTTTGCAGAGTCCAGCCACTCAGCTGGCCATCCCAGCATGGGCCTGCATTCTTAGGCTTATAAGGCAATCCCCCTGGCACAGGGAGGAGCCAGCCCCCAGCTCCACCCCCACCAGGCTCTCAGGAACTCAAGGTGAAGACCTAGAGATCACTCCTGGCTCTCCACTGCAAAGGATCAAAGGCTGCTGGATTCTGAACAGGTCAGAGGATGAGACCCTTTCTCCTGCCTACACACAGCCCAGTCTCAGCATTTGACTTCAGACAAATCCTTTCTCTGACAAAACCAACATCTCTACCTCTCTACCTCCAATTTCTTCATGTTGAAAAACAGGATAACAATTCTTATCTCCTGACTGAGGTGATATCCTGCAGTCAAGAGTGCCAAGCCTGGGTCCTTGTTTGAAGCAATGTTCCTTCATCTGGCTCAGATACTTCTTGTAACCTCAGGCACCCTTCTGCAGAAGAGCTTACACTCTGGCCCCACAGCTGCTGTGGTGCTTTGTGGCATGGCATTCAGGGCCCTGCCAGGCTGAAGGAATGCTGGGGACTCCATATTCAGCGCACTGGGAGTTTTTGCAGCCTTGTTCCATCAGGACAGGGCAAGAGGCAGTGCTATCCCTTCACCTATATGGACCCTGGCCTAGTGGCCCCTAACTGGTTCCTGCTCAGACTCTTCCCATTATCCACTTGAGATCTCAGCATCTCTGGAGCATGGGAGAGCCCTTCCCCCAACCTAGAACTCTGCCTTGGCTCACCCTGGAGATGGAGAGGGGTACGTTGAAGTCCTTGCCCCCCTGCAGCCGGAAACCCCAGGGTGCTGGCCCTTCCAGCACTACCTTGAAAGAATCCATGGTACCCACTCCTGAGAAGAAAGAAGAGAATGTAAGTGATCAGCATAGTGGGTGGGTAGGCTGAGCACTGACCACCAGCCCCAGACAAGTACCAGGTAGTTACAGGTGGACGTTGAGCACACCCAGGGGCCATGAGTGCTGACCCTTATCAGGCTTGACTGGACCTTTGGCTGGCTGTGCATACTTTGGAAAGACAGGGCCACCCTCCCTCCTTTAGGGATGGAAGGCTGAGGGGGGGCAGTATTCAGGCATAGGGTTCTTTTCATCCAGGGACGGGCTGCAGCGCTTCGCTGGGACGGCCTGGTCCCCAAGCCAGCGTGGAGCCTCGGGCGGTGGGGTGAGTCAGGGGCCAGCGCTCCTCTCCCCCGCCCCCAGATCCCGGCAGGCGGGCAGGCCGCGGCTGGAGCCTACTCGGACTATATAAGGCGTGTAAGCTGACACTGCGGGGAGAGCCAGCGGAGGGAGCACACGGGGGCTCGGGACGCGAGGGGGAGGGGAGGAAGGGAAAAGGAGGCGGCTGGAGCGGGTCCTAACCACTCCGGAGCGGGCCGAGGCCGCGGGAAGCCAGGGCGGGACCCCTGGGCGCTGGGAGGGTGGGGCGCGGCCCCTGGGCAGATCCGTGGAGGCCGGGACCTCAAAGTACGTCCAGTAAGGGGATCTATCCTGGAGCCTAATGGGGTGCTATCTCCCACACAGCCCAGCTCCCGCCACTGCATGACTCAGTTTCCCCTGATCACCCGCCCAGGCACCACGCACCGGCCAGTCCTGGTTGCAGGAAGGTGCGCAGGCGCCAGTTTGCCCCTCCGCAGCCCCGCAGGAAGGCGGGGGCGGGGGCCTGGCCTGCGGGAGGAAACCCACTCTGGCCGCGACCCTGAAGTTCTCTGTGCACCCCCCGAAGAAGGCTCCCTCCCACGCGTGGCCCGTGTAGGCTGCCCGCGCTGCCGCTGGTACCTGCTCGGCCCCGCAGGGGCGTTGCTCGGCCGCCGGCTCCCGGGAGCCGCGCGGAGATCGCCACCCGTCCTGTACTCAGACTCCACCCCGCGTCCCCGTCGGCTTTGAGTCCACGGCCAGAGGTGGAGCGTGGGGCCACGCCCCTTGCGAAACCACGCCCCCGGGTCTCTAAGCTCCGCCCAGCAGCGGCGCCTCACTTTTGGCTGGAGGGCAACGCTGGTCCGGTCCCAGGGAGTTGGGCAGGGCCAGGGCGGGGCTGGGGCTGCAGGACGCCGCATCTGGGAGAGGTTGCTCCGCCCCGGCCTTTCTAGAGACTCAACAGCCCCTTGCGCCTCCAGCTGGTGGTGAGAAAAGAAAGTGAGCTTTGAAAAAGACAGCTAATTCAATCTCTCTGAACCGAAGTTTCTTCCTTGGAAAAATGGACCAATAACACGCATCCTTGGCCCTGCACCTACCTCGCACTGTCACAATGGCTGATGTCCTGCTATATTCCCACCCAAGAGGCGGCTCCGCTTCCAGACCAGTGTCCTCACAGTCTCCACTCTGTCCCTAGCACCCAATCCGGATGACTGACACCGGTGGGAGGACGAATGAATCCACAAGTGAATGAATGTGCAGATCGGTCCTCGAGTTCACCTCTTCTTCCCATCACTCCAACTCGTGACACTCCTAAGGGGGGGGAGTGGTTCTTACATCTCTCTGTGACTGGTTGTGACTGGTGTTTTGGAAGTAGGTTGGCAGGTCTTTCTCCTGAGTCTTAGTCTCAAAGTTCCAAAGAAATCCGTACAGTGTCATAGCAACCTAAGCTTCCACTAACAGGGGTAATGACTGCACATGAAATGCACTGGCTGGGAATCGAACTTGCATGTCTTAAATGGAAGTTGGAAATGTTGCCACTGCTCCACCACTCCCCTCAAAAACTAGTTGCCATTGAGACCACTCCGACTCATGGCAGTCCCAGGTGTCAGGAGAAAACAGTGCTCCGTGGGGTAGTCAACGGCTGCTTTTTCAGAAGTAGGTTGCTAGGCTTTTCTTTTATCTTCTCCCTACTGAGTTGTCTATCCATCCCTTTGTCTCCTACTTTTATTTCCTCCTGAACTCACTTCAGTCAGGCTCTTGACCTCACTGTTCTTCTCATATTTCTGTCCTCACATTCCTCTTTTCAAGGTACCCAGTTACCTCCAAGCTATCAAATCAGTGGTACTATCTCAGTTTATAGGTACTATCATGCTAGATGGAGAAAAGATTGAGATTGTCAAGGACTTCATCTTACTTGGATCCACAATCAATAAACTTGGTAACAGCAATCAGGAGATCAGGAGATGTATTGCACTGGAAAAGTCTGTGGTCAGGGACCTCTCCAAATTATTAAGGAACAATGATGTCAGTTTGAGGACTAAGGTGTACCTAATTCAGGTCATGGTTTGTTCAGTCACTCACTCGCTGTGTTACTGAGAGCTGGACAATGAGTAAGGATGACAGAGGAAGAACTGATGTCTTTGAACTGTGGCATTGGGGAAGAGTACTGAATGGACTGCCAAACGAACAAACAAATATATCTTGGAGAAGGTGCAGCCAGAGTGCTCCTACATCTCACATACTTTGCCTGGAAATTGCTTCATGCTTGGAAAGGTGGAGGGATAGCAAAGGAGAGGAAGATTCTCAATAAAGTGGATTGACATAGTGACTGCCACAATGGACTTGAGTCTGACACTGAGAGTGGCACTGGATAGCTCAAGGTTTAAATATATTGTTTCTAGCACTATGAGCCATACTTGATTCCACGGCACCTAACAAAAACAACAACAGCTAATGAGGGAGCTTTGGTGGTCCAGTGGTGAGGAGTTGCACTGACCAAAGGTATGCAGTTCAAAGATATGCAGGTCAAATCCACCAGCTCTTCTGTAGGAGATAGATGGGCATTCTCCTCCTGTGCGATTAACTGCCCCTGAAAACCAGCTGAAGGGGGAGCTATGAGTCAGTTCAACTAGATAGTACACAACCATAATAATTAATGAGGGCCCTCTGGTGGCATAGTGGCTAAAGAGCTGCCAAACCAAACACATGCAGTTCGAACCCATCACTTAGTCCATGAAAGTAAGGTGGGCAATTTCCCCCCTTTGAGACTTACAGCTTCTGAAAACTCGATGGAGTCAATTCCAGCTCAACACTACACATGCTAATGGCACAGTCTGCAAGAAATTGCTCTGCTGACTCAGAGGCCTGACCTCTCTGCTGGTTCAAATTCACCAGCAGGTCCCTGACAGAAAGAATCTCTTCCATGAGATTCACAGCCTTGGAAACCTGCTGACAGATCAATTCTGACTCCATAGCAATGACTTTTTGAGTTTAAATAGATAATGACTTGAGAATTTCTGTGACACTGTCCTTGCTTTTTCTTTCCCTTATGTCTCAGTTTCGATAAATTCCACCTTCAAAAGACACTGCATCAGATTGCTTCTGACAATTGCTATTTCATTCCTGGACTCTGTAACAGCTGCTAACAAGTCTCTGGCTTCTTCTACCTGGGCAAGGTCTTCTCTCTGTAGCAACCAGAGTGATATTTTTAAAGCAGAAATCACACTTCACCCTCAGCTTTTAGCGTTCTAGTGGGCTGCTACTGCACTTAAGACTCAAGGTGCTTACAAGGTACTAAAGAACTGGGTCTGCCTCCTACCATTGTTGTCTTTTTCTCTGGCCACATGGGCCTTTGCCTCAGGGTTTTGCATTTATTGATTCCTTTACAGGGAGCGCTGGTGGCAAGAAGCTGCTCTGAAATCCCAAAGGCTCGAGGTTTGAGGCCACCAGCTGCTCCATTGGAGAAGGATGGCCAATCTCCTCCTGTGCAATTAACTGCCTCTGAAAACCTGCTGGAGAATTAGCTATGGGTCAGTTCTGATTCGGCACACTTTCTCATTTTGTTCCAGCCTAGTGTATTTGCTCTGTTCATTGTGCAGTGGTGACTGGGAGAGAACTCAAAGGTGGTGTCTCCATCTGAAGAACACAGTGGAGCGGTTCCTTGAGGAAAGCTGTGGGACCAGCAGTACCAGACCCTGGAGGAGGGCTCACTGAAGTTCAAGTGCCACCAGGCACTCTTGCCCAGAGTATCCAGCTTGTCCTGCAGTGCTGACCTGTGGTGCTCAAGGGCAAAGTCTGATTCTACAATAGCAGAGGAGGGGACATGGACATTGGAGGACAAAAAAGGGAGAGATGCAGTAAAATGCTAGACCTCTCTTCTGGAATTTAAATATGCATTTGATCTTTGGGTACAAGACCAAATGCAGAGAAAACTGATGTTGAAGATATTCCAGGGGTGGGGGGAATCCTAGGCTTGACTTCACCGGAGCAGAAATCTTAGGAAACTACATTAACAGTGGGCCAGATTTCACAAATCTTGATAAATTACTCCTAGTAGGTTTTTTCTTCCTTCTTTCTCTCTGTTTCCCCCTGGATCCTTGTAGAAATGATGCCAATCTAGTCGAAGAAACAGATTGTAGTAGAAGAAAAATATGGATGCTTATAGTTAATGGACTTCATAATGCATTTAAGATTGTTTTAAATATTGCATTCAAATATGACTTTTATAGGGAACATGGTGATCATGTGGAAACTGTTCAACGGATATGTGGTAATATTTTTGGACTTATTTCTGCCTGTCATGAAGTTTTATATGCATTTTACTAATTTCATATTAAACTTGCCTTTTTAAAAATACAAAACCAAAACAATATGAGGGAATTGTTATTGCTAAGTGCTGTTGAGTTGACTAAGATCCACAGACACCTCATGAACAAGGGATCAGAATCTGCCCTACCCTGTACCGTCCTGACCAGCTCTAACATACTGGACCCCACCGACAGTCACTGTGTCAGTCCATCTTGTTGAGGGTCTTCCTCTTTTACTTTGATCCTCTACCTTTCCAAGAATGAGTTTCTTTTCCAAGGACTGATCTCTCCTAATTGTTGTTGTTGTTATGTACTGTAGAGTCGGGAATGACCCACAGTTGACATCTTTCTCCCAAGGACCTGCTGGTGGCCTCAAACCGTGTGCCTTTGGGATTGAAGCACAGTGTCTTACCACTAGGCCACCAGAGTTAATTGTTATTGTTGTTATTATGTGCCGTCCAGTTGCTTGTGACTCATAGCAACCCTAGAACGTGTGCAGTCTAGCATCCTTCCACGTCTGTAGGACTTCCCTGCAGAGGTGACAGGGTTGCTATGAGTCACAAGCAACTGGACGGCACATAATAACAACAATAACAATTAACTCTGGTGGCCTAGTGGTAAGACACTGTGCTTCAATCCCAAAGGCACATGGTTTGAGGCCACCAGCAGGTCCTTGGGAGAAAGATGAGCAATCTCCTCCCACGTGATTACTGCAGCTGAAAACCCACTGAAGGGTCAACTGTGGGTCATTCCCAACTCTACAGTACATAACAACAACAATTAGAAGAGATCAGTCCTTGGAAAAGAAACTCATTCTTGGAAAGGTAGAGGATCAAAGTAAAAGAGGAAGACCCTCAACAAGATGGACTGACACAGTGACTGTCGGTGGGGTCCAGTATGTTAGAGCTGGTCAGGACGGTACAGGGTAAGGCAGATGTACTCATAGCAACCCTATGCTCTGAACTCTGATCTATCTTGAACCAACCTCATTGTCTCTGAGAAACCTAGTGCCATTACTTCAGTCACTAAGTCAATCCTTCTTATCCAAGGTCTTTCTCTCTTGCGCTGTCCCTCCATCCTTCCAAGCATGATGTCCCTCTCCAAGAACTGCAACATACTCAAAGTATGTTAGGTGGAGCTTCAGAATCCTTGCCTCCAAGGAGCAACCTGATTTCACCCTCTCCAGGACAAGCATATTTGTTCTCCTATCAGTCCCTTCAATACTCTTCTCCTGCATCACAATTCAAAGGCATCAATTCCCACATCACCCTTAATCACTGTCCATATTTCTGATGCATAACAAGTAATTGCAAAGACCATGACCTGGATCAGGTACACCTTAGTCCCCATAGTGACATCGTTGCTCTTCAATACTCTTCA